ACTATTTGAAGTTATATATATTATATTTATTATATTTTTAAATGTATAGTTTATATCTCATTTTTTATACTTTTTAGATTCAACTAGCCTACCTGTCTTATATCCAGGTAAAAATATTTTAATCATTTGCTAACTTAAATTTTTTGCTTTTTTTCATTTTTATCTTTAAATAAAATAATATCATTAAACAAATTTTCAACAAAATTTTATTTTTAAATAATAGAAACATTAATGCAAATTAATTTTACATAATTCTATTTCTGTTTCATAATAGGATTCAAACCAGAAATATTAAAACACTGTGAACATGCTCTGCGCGAACTTCCTGTGGAAGATCTTCGTTTAAAAATGAAAGGACGATTTTTTTATGATCCAAAGAAAGAAAACATACGAAGTGATCAAAACATATATTCATCAAACTCTTTACTTTTGCAAAAAAATAAAAATAAAATATATTGGGAAGAAGAAGAAAGTCAACATCTAACTTCTATAAAACAGAATATACAAATGCATCAAAAAATTTGTCAAACTGATGAAATAGAAACAAATACGAAATTTGTTCAAGCAAGTGTTACTATGGTAGATTTTGAAGTACAAGTATATCCTCAAGATTTACAGTATGCTATTAAAGAAGAAAAAAGGCCTATTATGGATCGTCTAGATTGGAATGTGCGTGAAATGTTTGATTATACACCTAAATTTCGAGAAGCTGATGACTTGAGATGGAGTTTAAGTAATTCTTCTCAAAAAAGGACATGGAATAAAACAATATCTCCTTCTAGAAGGATTGATGATCGTGAACATCATATAGATTCTGTATCTTTAGATCATGGCTCAAGAAATATGAAATTAGGATCTCCAATAAGAAACCGAGATAATTTCTCCAGTCATAAAGGATCTTTACAAGATCATTATGGTCGTGAAAAATATTCGCCTAATTATAGACATTCTTTAGAAGAACATGATGAATTTCATGAAAATAGAAGTGATCATAGTCGTGGTGAAAGTCCAATGATATTAGAAGATTCTGCAGAGGAATTAGAATTGGAACACACATTCCAAAGAGGAAGTGATTGGCATGGAAGAGGAAAATTATCAAGAGGTAGATCAAGTCCATTAATGAAACATGTGTACAGAAGAAAGCATTCAGGAAGATCTTATCGTGGGCGTGGAAGTTTTCGTGGAAAATTCTAAAATTGATTGTGTAAAACACAAATCTTAAATGTAGAATTATGTAATCAAATATATCAATATTTCAAAAAAATTGTAATCTATTCTTGCAAAAATTTGAAATGAATTTATGACTTTTTTAAAATATTAAAGTTTTGCATTATGTATTAAATTTAAAAGATATATTAAAATTTTTAAAATTATTAAATAATTTATGCTAAAGTTTTATGCTTAAAAATTATTATTAAAAAATATTTTAAATACAAATTGAATTTGAACATTATATAATAAAATTGAACATTATATAATAAATTAAATATATATTCATATAAACATTCATGCACAAATATTATATTTGTGAAATTGTACATTATAAAATTTATAATATTTAATAAATAAACAAACCATCTGACAATATGAAAAGAGTAAAAAAAAGTCATTGTTTATTAGTAACATTAAATAATTAAAATTGAAAGCAAAATATATATATTATAAATTTTACATATTACATTAACTTATTTTATAAATATTATTAGTCATTTTCATACATGTAACTAAATTATTTCATTAAGATATTAATTATATTAAAAATCATAATAGAAATAAAATAATATACATAAAGTCTTTTAATTATGATAAAATGATTATATATTATACAAAAAAAAGTATTTTTGAAAATATGAAATGTAATATTTTTAAATAACTTAGTTTCATTTTTGCATATATAATTATATATGTATATTAAATCTTTCAACTTTTCTCAAAATAAAATAGTTTCTGTATAAAAAAAAAAGTAAATGATTCTGTTATTTAGGATTTTATGCATATTTGTATATATAAAAAAAATTAAATAATAAAAAATGTTAGTGAAATATATCATTTTTTATTAAATTATATTTTTTAAATAAGATATCAATTATAAACACATCATAAAACAAAAAATATTTTAAGGTTACAAAATTTTTTTAAAATATTTCAACATGAATATATCTACATTATTACTTTAACAGTAATAATTTATTATATAAAAAAAAATTATATTTTTTAAAGGAAAGGAATGAAATAATATAAATTTTATTTATATGTACTTCTTATATTTTAATTATAATAACAATATATTGTATATATACAAATATATCAGTATCTATTCATTAGATAAATTGTGAATAAATATGAAATAATCAATATGTTCTAGTAACCTGTAAAATACGCATAAAATTACTACAACTTTAAATACGAATAATTTTTGAACAGTCAATTCCTAAATTTAAAATTAACATTTTTAGATTCCATCAAAAAATATTAAATAGTACAAAAAAAATTAATTTTTTCTCAAAATAATTCTCAAGTTTAATCAAATGTAACTATTTATAATATATTATTTCACTGCTAAATTATTTATATAATTTATTATAGCAATATATATTGCTAAAAACAAACATCTTATGAAAATAGAAGGTTATTATTAATTATTATTAGCAATTTCTAGTAATTCTAGTAATTGATTGATTATAGATTTTTTTATTGAAACGTCGAATAGAAACATTTGCTGCACTTATTTTTATTGTGGCTCATAGACAACATTACCAGAATGAAAAAACGAAAAAATTAAAAGAAAAAATAATATAATTAGTGAATTTTCGACGGCATGATTCTACAGCATACTGTAAATAAATAGGAATATATTATGTAGATGTAAAGTAAAAATGACAATGAAAGTAATCTCTTAATGTCATTTCTTCAAGAGGAAATTCTGTTGTAACACTACTAGGTATTTAAAATTAGTCAAAAAATATTTTTTTTCCTTAAGTAACAAATTATATATTATTTTTCGTAACGCAAATCGGTACATGTAATATAAATAATATAAAAATTGTAATAAGAGAATAAATTGATTAATAATTTTTAAGCTGTAATATGATACAACCATCCTATTGAATTAAAAAAATAAAAGATAAGATTTCAAACATAAATATAAAATATTAGTTACCGATATTTACTAATTTCCGATATAATAATAAAAATTTTTAGTAATTATTTAGAAAAAAAGTTTTCTCATTGATTTTGATGATTTTTAAATATAGGAAAAAAATTTTAAACAACTTTTTTGCTATACATATAATTGGTATTCCATCTTAGTTTTCGAAATATTTGTAAAAAAAATATTGCTATTATTATTTTTTTAATAGAATTTGTTCTTTATATATTTGCAGTTATACATATACGATTACTATTTTTATAAATTCTATAAAATTCTATAAATTCAATCTATTTTTATAAACATATCACAGATGTCCAAAATATATAATAGATTGATTGAAAAGTTTATAGATCATAATAGGTTTATAAAATATTATTATAAAATATTTTAAATTCAATCATATTGAGTTTAGACATTCCATAAATTCAAAAGAAATCATTAAATAATATCTTCCAATACCTAATAATATCTAAAGCTAATGAGTTAATTAAGACAGATTTTTTTTTAGTCACCATACTGATAATGCTAACGATTATTATTTTACTAATTATATATCAATAATAATATAATAATAATATAAATAATAATTAATACAATAATAATATAAATAATAATTATATATTTTACTAATTATATCATATTCAAATTCGATATAAATTATGATATTTCAAGTCCATCACAATTTATGAAGAACAAATTTTTTATTAGTTCACACATTATATAGTGTTTTTAATATTGTTATTTACATTACAGAGGATAAATGATAACACATTTACACAGATGTATATAGAAGAAATTTTACATAATATTAACAATTTTTTTTGTAAATATCTTGAAAACTAAGACCAAGCTGCAATTATAGAAAAAAATATAGAAAAAAATTGTTCAGAATAATGATTTCTATAAAATTATATATATGTATATATATATAAATCATCAAAATCGATGAAGAAGCCTTTTTTCTAAATAATTATCATATATATCAAATTTGATATATCAAATATATTATATTATATTTATTAGAATCTATCATAATTATTAAATCTGTTGCCTAAGAATTTGTTTTTAATGATGTTTAATGTCTTGAGAATAAGATTGTAGATAGGTAGATGAGTAATAGTAATAGTACTTTATATATATTTTGGCCAATATCGTTATTATATCATTGATATTTGACAATTCTCACTACAGCAATTCTCACTACAAGATTATTATATTATTAATAACATCTGGATAAATAGCGTTCGATATATTTAAAAACATCTATATACACAGTTTTCAATGTATAGTAATATGAATAGTAATGAAAGTTTTTCTTTAATATTTAATATTTTAATATTTTAGAAATTAATAAATAAAGTAATAATTTTAAGAAATCATTTCTTTAAATTTTTAATCGAGGCCTTTCGAAACTATAAGATTTATAATTAATATATAATGTAATAAATAATATAATTAGAAATATAATCATTTTTTATAATAAAAAATTTTCTTTAAAACAGTAAATGCAAAAATATTACAATATTATATTATTAACATTGCAAATTTTTTTCATTTCATTTAAAATTATATTATACAATTTATATTATTTTTTTATAATTATATATTACTATTTTGTTTTATTATGTATTTAATAATTAATAATTAAATAATAATTTAATAATTATTAAATTGAAAATTTACACAATATAAAAATTGTACTTATTAATAAAAAGAAAATTAAATAAATACTTCAGATTTATTTAAATTTAACTTTGATTCAATAATATTATTAAAAGTAATATAATTAGAAAAATAAATATTATAAGATACAAAACGTCTTTACAAATATAAATTTCAAAATTACACATTTTTGGTCCAAAATTAAGTTTAATATGTGCATAATATACAGATGTGATATTAACATTTATTAAATTGTTGTATATGTATTAATGTTTGTTTTATTATTTCAACTAACTTATCTCTAGCAAAACATGCAAATTCTTGAAAAATATGATCATCACAATTTTTATTATTTAAAGTTAAAATAATTTTTAAAGGATTTTTCTTTTTAAACATACATATAAAATCTAAACTTATTTTATTTGTCCCTTTTTCTTTATTGTAATTTTCTACTACTTGTTCTGATATAAAAGCTTCCTTTTGAAGACAACTTAAACTGGGATCTAAAATAATATTGTTAATTCGTCTATTACGCCATACACAATGAGATCCAGTACAATGAAATATAATATTTTGCAGTTCTTCTATATGAATATCTGATAATATATCAATCTTTTGCTGTTTTATTCCTGTTTCAACTGGAAATATTTCAAGTTGTAATTTGAAAACTTTTTCAAAAGTATCTTTTACTATATTAAAAACATTAGAATACCAATCTTTTCTGGAAAATTTTTTTTTTTCTATATCTATATATGTTTCCATATTATTTGTTTCACATTGAAATTGATTTGCAGAAATAGTAATATTAAATTTAAGATTACTTTTTTTTTTTATAACTGTAGTAAATAAAGTTTTTATTAGATTTTTATAATCATTTTTACTAGTCATTGCACAAATTTCTGCACCAATTGCACAATATTTTATGAGAGAATTTAATGTAGAAAACTTTGTATTCGCTGTAACATTATGACTTAATTCTATAGGATCTTGTACACACATTGGTTTATTAACAATGAATTTAAGATTATCATCTTCTTTTATATATGTTTTATATCTGTTCATACATAATGGTAAATTTTCTATTTCTTTAAACTCTGATTCTGTATGTATCATTCCATCTATTGGACATATTATTTGTGATTTATATTCAAAAGTTGCATAAAAGAAAAAAAAACCATGAAGAAGTTGTGGAATACTATTCTTATTTGTAATTGGTGGTAATACTGTATTTTTATCAAAATTAGCTTGCCAACCATTTATAATTTGTGGTTGACATGTATTTTGAAGTACCATCAAAGGTGGAATAATATTAACAGATGGTTGTTGTAAATAAAAGATAATTAATAAAACTAAAGCATAATTGGATATTTTTTGTCCATTTGATATTTTAAAATGTCGTGCCCAATATTTGATAATCATCATTAACGGTTTTAATCTGTTATCAAGAGATAAACAATATTTTATTAAATAACTTTTATATATACCTAAAATATTTTTAAATGAAATATCACAAGAAACATTTGTTTTGTTATAATAAAATTTTATAATAGGAGTTTTTGCTTTTGGAATTCCTATTATGTTTGAAAAAACATCATTCATTTTGTACATAATTTTTTTCACACTTTTAAAAATCTTGTTCATAGTCCATGAATCTGTTGATGTATTTTTACTTTCATTTATTGGTTCACCTTGAATAGAAATAATATATAATATTATTATAAAATAATAAAATTAAATAAATAATATACATATATATTATATTCATACCAATATCCATATATATATCTAAATCACATTCTTTAAAACCTAATCCTGTTTGACTTGAACCAAATCTATATGTTTTACATTTTGGAAATATCACTTTAAATATTTCATTTAATTGTGTACAAACAGATTCATATTTTGTTTCTATTTCAATGTCATTAAGTTGTATTGCATTCAAAAACATCATTAACTGATTATCAAATGTAGTTCCTTCGTCAAATATATATTTTATATTATCATAACTTATAGAACCTTTGTTTTCCATGATATTATTTTTTTTCTCTGATTTTGATCTTTTCAGATCTTGAAATAAAATTTTATAATTAACAAATATTTTATTATTATTTTATTTTATTATTATAATTATTATCTTACATTTTTTAAAATAATAAATAGAAATACTTACTGATATGTGGTTTTCTTTTTTGTATATTCAATTTTACATTATTTATCCAAATTGGTTTATTTAATAAAATTTCTGTAGAAGTTCTATAATATTAAAAGATTAGTTAAAATTATAATTATAATAATTATATATTATATATATATATAATAATAATTACAATTATAAATTTATAAATTAATATATTCTAATTATAAACACATTTTTTTACTCTATTTTTTTTATTGCTGCAAATTAATATAAACTAAAATATAGCAATAACAATATTAAATATTCTTTACCTGTCATAAAATTCAACTGTGAGATAATTTTGACGAAATTGATACCATTTAATTGCACCATATTGTTGAAAAAAGTTAATAAGTTTACGAGCAGGAATAAATTTTGGTAATGGAGAAACAACAATTGATCTCTCCATGACTTTAGATTGTTGAAGTCCTTTTAAATGTCTTTTACCTGCAAGATGACTTTGCAAGGTATGTTCATCTTGAAAATATAATGAACACGTATCACAATATTTCGACATTATTGATTATATGTTCAAATTCATATAATATTTTTCACTTTTATTAAAATTTTGTTTGTTTTGTTCTTTTATTAATATTATACATAACTTTTATATTATATATGTATAAAACAATTAACTTAAAAAAATATTGTTATTATGTATTAAAGTACTTTTTAGATATATAATTAATTGATATTATTTTATTTTTATAAAAATTATATTTATGTAAATATATATATTCTTAATACAAAATTTTCATATTTCCTATGAACAAATAAATATTTAGTATAAATAACTAAAAAAATTTTTTCCAAAATTGAAAAAATTAATTATTGTTGAGAAATAATAAATTAGATTAATTATACAAATTAAATTAATAAAATTTTATAAAGAGTTTCATAAAATATATATCACTAACTCATATCTAATCAAATATTTATGTACAATAATTAATAATATTTATATTTTATTATAAAACAGTTAATAAATATTAATTATCCTACATATATATATTTTAGAATATAAATTATGAAATTAATGAAATTTCATTAAAAGATATTTAGTTTTTCATAAAATAGTTTTTTCACAAAATGCTCACTTCTTATTTAAAAATAAATTATTTCTTTTTTCTTCACTTTCATTTTCAAATATGTAATAGTATATAAACGTAATATTGTTCATAGTTTTATCTGTTTTAATTGTTAGTGAACTGCATTGTTTATTTTCTTAAAGTTTTTATGGATGTATTTTGAAATTTTAATTTATATAATATATTATGTTAAATATTAATGTAATATATTATGTAATATTTATTTTTTTTATAACAGGAAAAAAAAATAAAAATATTTTCCACTCGTAGTAAATATTGTATATTTGAACTCATAATATGAGTAATGAAATTGCTAGTTTAGTTTTTTTATAAGTTATTACATATTGATTTTAACACTGATCAAATAATGATTTCAGAAAGATTAGAATAAAATGCACATAAATATCACTTTCTTACTTCCTCACAAAAAAGATCCACCATCTTGTGAATTGTACGATATTACATGGCTGTTTAACCTTAGACTATATATATGTATATAGATACAGCTTCAGATAATTACCTTGACACAAAGATAAAATCACCTTGTGCATCACACTTGGATAAAATAATCGAAATACTTTCAAAACAATATATAAATATGTTCAAATGCAATTTAATCATTGTTAAGTGAACAATTATCTAAAATATATATTTTATTTTATCTGTCAATTTTTATTTTTTTATAATTGTATATTGTTTATTATAACATATTTTTAGAAAATTACAATTTCGAAAAAATTCTATTTAAAATGTTAATATTTATTTTATAATTATTTTCTTAACTTATTTTAATTTAAAAAAATAATAAGAAAAAAATATTAGAGAAAAATTATTTGGAGGATAAAGTAAGATATTATGAAATATATCTTTAATATAATTATATGTTTTTGTTCAATAAAAATTTAAATTAAGTTTTTTAGTTTAGGATTATGCTTTTGTTTTTTACAATTTTTCATACAATATGTTTATACCATTATTAATAATTATTAAAAAATTATTTGGGTACAAATATGTAACTATTCATATGCAATATGAATGTTTTTAGAGAGAGAGAGAGAAAGAGAGGAAGGTGAAAAAGGGAGAGAGATATCTTTTTGATATAAAATCGATATTTATCATTAACATTCGATTAAAATAATTAATTCGATAAAATAAATTTCTTTGTTGAATGTAAACTTATTGATTCAAAACTATTAACTCAAGATTGCCAATGTTATTTTTACTAATATTACTAAAATTTGATTAATATTAACAGTAATCACTTCATATATATAAACAGTATAAATATAAATCACATAACAGTACAGAAGCATTTCATTTAATATGAAATGGAAAACCTTACTCTCTACTCTTCAGTTTATTCATATCTACTCATTATTCGAATGTAGCAAATTATTTGATAATTTTTTTAAGAAGTTTCACAAATCGAAATTTGTTAAAATTTTATTTTGTAAAATATATTTTTTAGATATTTCTTAGAAAAAAAATATGCATATATATTTAGCATTTATATTTAGATTTTCTATTTTAAATTCGTATTTGTATATATATTTTTATTATATACAATATATACATATTTTTGTTAGTATAAATTGTGAAATATTTTTAATATAAAGACTGTACTTTGATTATTAATAATTCTTATGGGAATAAATAATGAGCAATGTTTTAATGGAAAATTGTAACTTTTAATTTTTTAACGGCTCAATTGCATCTATTATAACGAAAACTTATTTTGTTTATAATTTGTTTAAGAATGATCACTATGATCTACAACATGATCATTTACATTATGAAGTGGAATTGATATGAAAAGGAATTAATATTATAATTTGTTTTATTTTTCGCATTAGAATGCTGCTAGTATTTATATAATTCAAACAAGTCTTAACATATTTTATTACAAATCTTCTTATTTTGACTAATAAGAAACCTTACTGAATTAATTTTTGGCAATTCATCTTAGTATTTTCTCGCTTAAAATGTTTAAATACTTAGTGTCATTATGATATAATAAAAAAATTTATATTTCTCGAAAATATGTTTGGTTAGCTAAATATGTTTTCTTAGCTAGACTTTTATCTAAAAGTATCTTCCGAATTCATAATAACTGTTCATTTTATAGCTGTGCCATAATGATTCAATCAATCTTTATACATAATAATCAATCTCTGTAACATCTATGAGCTTATATTTAATATTATCTGCAAATAATTATGATTTAATACTTTTCTTTTATCTTTAATTTATGATGATCTATATTCAATCTCGAATGTGAATTTTTGAATTTCTAGTTATTTTTTAATTTGCGATAATAAATTTTTTTTAATAGCTTTTAGTAGCACCATAATGCATTAATCAGTTATGATTTTAAACATCAGATTATGAAAAATAATATTAATAAAAATAAACTCTAAAATAACAAAGGAAATATTACTGTCAATATTATTTTTTGTTTTAGCTGTGTAAGCGACCATAATATTGCTGTTGTCTTGTTGTAATAAAGCTGCATTAATTCCCAAAAAATTAATATCTGTATGAAGTTCAGTATATCTGAATCAAATATCATTAGAATTGATTCATAAATTTTTTTTTTAATTTATAAAAAATGCTAATAATATCTTGCTCTTTCATGCATACTCTTTTTATAATAATCTTGTAATGATTTAATTATACTTGTTTAATTTTTGATAAATTTCCTGAAATAATCAGTTTTAAGAATCTGCAGAATGAAGAAATTCTATATACAAAACTGTTTCAATTTTGTCAATAAACTAAATTTGTTCCTCTTTTCTTTAATTTTTTGATCAAGATATTTAATTTTTGTTTCGAAAAATCGACTGAGATATAAATAAAGGTTTTTCAACTAATGTAATGTAATCTGTAAAATTCAAATTGATTTAAATATTATGAATGACTTTCTTATACATATAAAGATAAACAAGTTTATCAAAAACATATTCAACTTTTTTAATTCTTAAAATCTTCTCTATCTTGAGAATGTGTTTTGATTTGCTCTTATGGATTTCGATAAATAAATAATTGCAATTAATCCAATTAAATATGACTTTGACATTGCATAAAAAGAGATGTTTGAACTAAATATTATCACTCGAAGGGCCATCTACAATTAGGATTATATAGTTATTTGTATTGTGAGTCTTGATTGACATTTTGTGCAAAGTCGAAAATGGTGAATGATTTTGAATATTACACAAATGAGGTAAACTGATATTACTGCTCGAAGGATCCTACTATCGTAGAACTGTATATTCGTTTATATTATGAATTCTGAGTAAACGAATGATGGTACTTTGATTCTTTGCGGCTAACTGTAATAATTCTAACTGAATTTTGATGTACACTGTATCGTTATCGAATTCTATCTGCCCGTTTCTATTTCTATATCAACTCAAGACTTTGCAAGACTGTCGCGATCCTTTGTTTTTCCTTCAATCTTTGTTTTTCGGGAAAAATGCACACAGAGAAGAGATTGGAGGAATCAATGGTCGCGCTGGAAAGCGGTCTTGAAGAATGGACTCTCGCAGCCGTGGGGATCAAAACCTTCGCGCTCGCTCTCACGGTGGTCCATCGCATGGCGTGCAATGGCTTGTGATCATTGCTATAATATCTTTATTTAAATTAAAGATTTAAAAAACATTAGGAAAACTATGCCCGCTCATAAATAATTGTCAAGCCAACGGTTCTCGAATTATTGAAAATAAAAACCAGGTTACCCAATTGCTTCATAAGTCCTTAACACTCTGATAATCTGATCTCTGGCGTTAATGATTTAAACTCTTGATTCTAACTGAATTTTATTTGTTTTTAACTTATCTGATTTCTAACAATCTGATCTGAATTCTATCTTGATTCTAATTATGATTTGATTTGAATTTTATTTGACTTTTAACTGTCTACCTGATCTGAACTCTATCTAATTTCAATTCTAACTATGATTTTGGAAAACTGTTACAGACTTTGATTCTTTCTTCAATAATTATCTTCGGTAAAAGAATGAAGGGAAGGAGGATGAAGAAAATCATTTGAAAACGAGGGAATCATACTACTACTACGCAGCGTTAAATTACTAATAAATTAAACTATCGAAAGTACTGAAATTATTGAAAATAAAATTCAAAAAATCAATAGTCGCTTTATTTTTAAATCAAATCTCATTTTTATTTTTAACATACAACATGTCATACAACGATTTATATATATGGATTTAAAATGTTTACAATAACTTACTTAAAATGTTACAATAACTTATCTATTATAACAATAACTTATCTATTATTTAAATAAAGTGATAGTAAAAAAATTAAATAGTCATTATCGTATTCTGAAATGTATTAAAATTTATTCGAAATAAGTTTTTATTAATTAAGAAGTTTTATAATATATATATTTTATATTAAATACATTGAAATATATTCAAAAATAATCATTTGTGTAAAAATATCAATGTATTTTTATTAAGGGGCTCCGCCATATAAACAATATTGCAATATGATATTGCGATCTGAACGTTCTCTGCTATTTCACTTTA